GTAAGGACAGGGGCACAGAAGTTGCCACTGACGGGTGCCTTGTCTGCCTCCTCGTCGTCGTCGCCTCCATCCCGTCGTCCCTCTTTCCCTTCCCTCTGCTGAATTGGAGTTCTGCGGCGGCTCTTCCAATACGGCCGCATGTCGCCAGGACGCAGTGGCCGAGCCTCACTCATTCAGGCACTGTCGGAGGCGCCACCCGCCTCTGGACCCCTTTGCCCACGCGTTGGCGGAAGTGGTACGTGGCGTGCAGACATTCGACATATCCACGCACGCAATACGCGTTACGGTGCAGTGTCCCTGTTTGGGTGAAGCGTAGGCCTCTGCGCTTTTGGGCTGTTGCCTAGGTCCTCTTGCAGTCCATCCGCGTGGCCACACGTTCGATCGACATTTCACGACACAGGCAAGTCCAACAGACAGGGGGCGACAGCGACTCGCCGCAGGTGTATTCGATAAAGGTTTGCCTCACTCTCGGACTAACAATCGACCTGAGTTTACACATCTCTCGGCATCTCGCTGACGAACTGTGCCCCTATCGAACTAACGACCTACTTGCATCGCCATGGATCTAAACACACATATAGCTACATTTAAATAACAACCTACCTACCTGCTTGCACATGTATCAAAAGATCCGTACACGTGTGTATATATATATGCACACATCACATCTTATAATATACACAAGACTGCTCTTTGGCCTTTGAATTTGCGGTTTCCTTTCAAGTCCCCATACCCGTTCCACATTTGCCTTCGCCCTCGATTTACATGTTCGTGCGCCACCCGAATTTTTGTGGGTGCGTTTTGATTCGAACTTCGAGACGGGCCCGGCTCCGGAAAAATGCTGAACCAAAATCGTGCGCCTTCTTCGTTGGATTCTGCGCCGGCAGGTGTCGTAACGGCCTGCGCGTCGGTTTTTGACACCGCTTGGATCGTTCAGCCATGAACGATCGCGAATTCCAGATCAACAAAACCGATTCCTGACCACTGGCCGCGTTCATTCCGAGCGCCCGCGCTGGTGTCGCCGCCGCGTCGACACGGCGTAACCCTACCGTTATGGAGGAAAAGATGTTTCCTGGGGGTCGTTTTCTCTACTGCGGGATCTATTTTTCAGGCCCTCTAGGTTGCAGCGGCTTCTGGAGGCCGACGTCGAACCAAAGCCTCCGAAGTTCGCAGAGGCTCCAGGAAGCCTGGCGGTTTCCAGCTGCCCCCAACGGCATAAAACCTACCAATGTCTGAGCCATCGTAAGCCCCGAAGAGTGATGCGTTGAACTCTGGCGGTTACAGTTCTGCGGCTCAAACTGTGCAATGCGAGCTATATGGTAGCAAACGTATGGTGTGAGCTATGCGGTGAAAGTTCTGCGGTCTTAGCCATGTGGTGGTAAATATGTTATGTAAACTATGGCATGCGGGCGATGTGGTGGTATCTGCAGGATGTAAATTATATGGTGGAGGACAGGTGGTATGAACAACATGTTGGAAACAGCGTTGTGGAAGTTTTGAAAAAGAAAAGAACAGTGCAAGCAATCTGGTAGGGGGATCACGAGCTCCCACGATGCGGCATGGGCGGGCATGTGACTAAACCTCGGCCGACCCACCCAAGTTCTGAACATCGAAGCAAGGCCGTTCTGACACTCACTCAAGCTCTGAACGCCTTTTAACACCCTTTTGGGCCGTCTTGGGTCCCTCTTGGGCCGTGCCGGGGCCTTCTTGAGACACTTAGACCCTCTGAGGGCCTTCTTGGGGTCATAGTGGGCCCACCTGGGGACCTCCAATGGCCCTCGTGGATCTCTCTTGGAAGCCTTTGGAGGCCTCGTGAGCTTCCTTTGGACCGTTTTGGGGCAGTCTTGGGGCCCTCTTGGGCTGTCTTGAAGCTCTCTTGGAAGCATCTTGGGCCGTTTTGGGGCGATCTCGGAGGCCTCTTGGGCTGTCGTGAACGCTGCTCCGACACAAAAAGCGAATATGCTGAAAATGCGCGGCTCCCCGGGGGCAACGGAAGAGGCGTCTTCGGGCCTCTTGGACCGTTTTGGGGGCCCCGTGGGCCGTCATGAGACCGTCTTGCGCTGTTTTGGGGCTCCCCTGCGCCTCTTCGACCATTTTTCTGATCGTTGTGGGTCTGCTGGGCAAGACCTGGCAAAGAGGCGGTCTGGGAGGCGCGGCAGGGCTGGGGGACATCTTCGAAGGGCGTCCAGAGGGCCCCAAATCTCCGGATCCAAAGGTTCCAGCTTTGGGCAGGGAAAGGTTTTTCCCGCCCTCCCGGTTTGCAAAAATAGAAGAAATGGAATACACACACACATATATATATGTATATATATATATATACATACATACATACATACATACATACATACATACATACATACATACATACTACATATACATAAACATATATATATATATATATATATATATATATATATATGTGTATATATATATACAGGGCCGGGGACCCCGGAAAAGCGGCACACGGTGCCCCCCCCCAAACGAATTTCGGCCTCCCCGAGCCTTCGGGGCGCTCCTGCAGAGTGCTTCGCGTCTGTCCTGCGAATGCGACGCGAAAAAAAAAGCCCCCACGACGGCCAAAGAGGGCCCCGAGACACCCAAAGATCGGCCCAAGACGCCCAATCCGGGCCCAAGACTGCCCAAAACGCGTCCAAGACGGCCCCAGACCCCCAAGAGGCCTCCCAAGAGAGCCCCGAGAGGCTACAATTGTTGATTTTCCTGTGTGTGTTTTTCGATGTTTTTGGCCTTCTCGCTTTTCCCGCGTCAATCGCCCAAGAGGCTCCGCAGATCGCCCCAATACTGCCCAAGAGGCCCCCACGAAGGCCCCAACACGGTCCAGGAGGGTTCCGGGACCGCCCAAGAGGCGCCCAAGACGGCCCAAGAGAGCACCAAGACGGCCCCAAGAGAGACCCAAGAGGGCGCCCAAAAATTCAAAAACCTAAATTTCCCGCCGCGAGAGGGCCCCAAGAGGCCCGGAGAGAGCCCCATGAGGCCCCAAGAGGCTCCCGAGAGGCCCCAAACAGCCCCCAAGAGGCCCTCAAGAGGCCCCACAAAGATCCCAAGAACCCCAAAACACCCCCAAGACGCTTCAAAACTGCCTGCCAGCGGGCCCCGAGAGGAGCACCACGAGATCCCAACACAGCGGTCTCCCCCTCTCATTATCCCTTCTCTTCGTCGTCGCCTTCTTCGTCGTCGTCGTTGTCGTATCCAATGGCGCAGCGAAGCCATTTTCCGTTCAAACCACCGAAGGACCCAAGAGCTCCTCCTGAGCCTCCCCCTCTTCCTCATTCTCTTCCTCCTCTACCTCCTCCTCCTCCTTCTCCTAATTCCCCGTGATGTTTCACGTTCCGCCCCGCCAAAGGTCTAGCAGAAGCAGCTCTCCTCACTCCCCCAAGTCTCTGCTGCGGATTTATTCCGCGCCACCTCGGCTGCACCCCAGATATCCACATAATCTGTCCTCTTCATCCTCTTCCTCCTCTTCATCCTCCTCCTCTTCCTCCTCCTCCTTCTCCTCATCCTCTTCATGTTCCTCCTTCCGCCTCGACTGAGCTTCTCGCAGCACTCAATGCAAACCGTCGGGGCCACGACACCATCTCATCCGGTCGCGCTTTTGGGAACCAAATTGATTGTGACATTTCGGAGATCAGGCCGTCGGGAACCTTCGGTTTCAGCATACATCCTGGGGAAACATTCCCTGGGGACTCACGGCCGCACGAACACTTGCAACGTCCTCCTCCTCTTCCTCCTCCTCCTCCGCTTGACTCGCAGAGAGGCCGAGCGGCACCGCGCCGCGCCGCCAGGGAAGGGGAGCACGGACAAAAAAAGAAGCGGAGAGGGGGGAGAGGAAGAGGAGGAGGAACAGGAGGAGGAGGAGGGGTGAGGAAGGGGAGGAGGAGGAAAAGAAAAGGGGAAGGAGGAAGAAGAGATACCGGAAAGTAGTCTAATCAACTGCGCCAGAGTTATGCTCGCAACTCCGACCTCAGAAGCGCCTTGCTTCGCATCGGTCCCGCCGTTTTCGCTTGAGACATCATGGCAGCTCTGGAGCCCGAGACACTCTCAGTTGAGGTGCTCCAGCCACTGTCGCCTGAGACACTCTCGCAAGTCTCACTTCGGAGGTGCCTTGCACCATGGTGGTTCGGCCACTTTCGCGTGCGACTTCTCGCAACTCTAAGTTCAAGGATGCCCTGAACAGAGGTGTTCAGACCACTCCTCGCTTGAAACTTCCTCGCACGGCTGACTTCGGATATGCCCTCCCCTGAGCGGAGGTGTTCAGGCCATTTTCACCTGGGACGTCCTCGCAACACTGACCTCGGCGACGCATTGTCCCATGGTAGTCTGACCACGTTTGCCTGAGACCCTCGCGCCTTTTAGTGGCGCGATGATACGAGCAACTGGTCAGGCCACTACCGCCTGATATACGCATGTGTCTGCGCACACATAGTTACACTGACCATTTGCATATACATGTACATATTCATATAAACGTGTAGATACACATATATGTATATGTGTATATATATATATATATACGTACATATGTACTATGCATTCATCGACGCATGTGTGTGCGCATGTACGCACGCTCGCACTCCGCTAGCGTGCGAAATCCAAAGGGCCAAGGTGCATGGCGCGCAGCGCCAATGCAATCTTGCATATACATATATATATATATATATATGTGTGTGTGCGCGCTTGTAAATGCAGCCCCCTGGAAAAAATGATCGGAAGGCTCAGCCTTGCGCACCTCAGCCCAACATTCGAAGGGGGGCAGGGATCTCGCAGTGATGCCGATCCTCGATCTTCTACTATCCCCGTCGTCGGTCGTCAACACTCGATGTTCGATGCTCGGTCGGAGATGATCCATTCCCGCACCTCGATCCTCGATGCTCGAGCCGCGATGCTCGGTCGTCGCGCCTAGTTCCTCGGTGCACGGTCTGCGATGCTCGACCTTCGGGCATCGATGCCCAAGAAGCACCCTACTTGATACAAAGGGCTATCTGGCCGCGCGACGGCGCTGCGCCCGCAGCCGCCGGGACCCCCCGGGAGAGCTCCTAGATCCTGTCAAAATCACTACTAGAGCCCGAACAAGCGAAACAAGATTCGGGAACGAGTGCCCGACAACACAGGAGTGGCGGGAACAGACCGAAGAAAGATTATGGAACGCCCGAGTAGGTCGACGGCGGCATAGGTATTAGAATGTGCGTCGACTGTCCCTGATTTTGCAGAGCCAGGCCATGGTCTCGGAAACTTTAAGGTTTCTGCTCCTCGCACTCGCACATCTGAATCGGCACCGTCATTCTGCAGCGTCGCGCGAGCTCTGTGAAGGTGCCTAATATACATGCTTACTAACCGATCGCACGCAAGGCGCGTACGAGAGAAATGAGAGGAGGGAGGGAGGGAGGAAGGAAGATGAGGGAGGAGGGAGGAGGGAGGAGGACTGGGCATCAATTGGCCAACGGCACTAAATCCACAGACAGGAGGGCACCGTGCTGAAGAGAACACGACTGGCTGAACGTAGTAGAATACGACCAGACATGACCGATGCTGCAATCTACGAGGAGCCACCACCGCCCTGAAACAGGTTGAAAAGAGACCACAGCATTCCGCAAGCCGGTACCAGGAGGATGAGGCAGATCGCGCTGGTGTCTTAGAAACAGTCCGCGAGCCAGGCTGATCCATGGCCTGATCCTGTGAAGGGCAACGATAGGAGGGGGACCGGCTCAGGGGGGGAAACATCGAGCTAGAATGGGCGATACATCGTCGATAGATCGGCGATAGGCCCCCGACAGCGAATCCGCACGCTCCTGAGCGGGGTGGCATATCAGACCCCGTATCGGCGATGCATGGGCGACCAGGGGTCTCCCCCCGTAACGTTGCCCCCTGATCCTGGTCCTGACCAGCCAGCCCGATCCTCGGGTCGGGCGAAAGAGGGGGATAGCAAAGGGAGGGTTTGAGAATCAGCTCACGTAGCTGATTTTCCCGGCGCCTCCCGGCGCCGGAGGCGGCCATGTATCGAGGAATGGGCCCCTCGGTGAAGCCGAAACCAGCTGAATGTAGCGAATTTCGTAACCCCCCCTTTCCCAATCCCCCCCGTTCGCCCGGCCCGAGATCCATTCCACAGAGCGATGTGCACCATGGCTGGTCGAGGACCCGACTGGCCACCCCGATCCCGAGCGATCGCTGGGCGAAGGCGGAGCCGCGGCCCCCGGTCCGCAGAGCTGGAGGCCTCCCAGATGGGGTCCGAGTAACGATGTGCTCGGACGATCGCGCCGGATCGCCGATGCATCGGCGATGCATCGGCGGTGCACCGGCGATGCATCGGTGGCGTCGGCGATGCATCGGCGACGGCGGGATGGAGAAAATCGGGCTCCACGTCGAGCCGCATCGGCGATGCAGCGCGGTCCTCCAACCCCGTCTATTCGGACACCATCTGGGAGGGCTGGAAGAGCAGGGTCTTCTAAGGCTGCTGCTGAGAGTTCCAACAAGCACCGGCCAGAAAACAAACAAGAAATATATAATACCCCACGCGAGGTAGCCTATCTTGCCGCAGCAGCCTCTGTTCTTCACCACGCAGAACCAGCCCACGTGGCAGAGCAAGAAGCCCACCACGAGGCCGACGACACTGTCAATGATCAGGTGGACGATGGCCTTCAGTGCTGCGTCCAGTGCTAAACTAACGAACTGCAAGACAAAGAATATGATCGACAAGACTATGTTCAGGATGCAGTACAGCACGTTCCAAGCCTGGAAGTGTCCAAGCCAATTGCTCTGCCTAACCTGGAACATGGCTAGAGGAACAAAAAACAGCGCAAACATGAACGTTCGGAGGTCCGCGCACACTTCTCCCGGCGGCGGACGAGGGGGGGGAGTGAGAAGGCGAAGGCCTCCTCAGAGGGTTGCGGGGCTTCTCGGATGCCCTCGGGCCTTCTGAGAGGTTCCCTGCCTTCGGGGCAGGCCTACCACACCTCTCAGACGGCCCGGGGACCTCCGAGCCTTCTGAGCAGGCCCCCTCCTTCTCCCCTCGGCCCCCTCCCTCGCCGCCGATGCTCGGGGCCGGCGCGGGGCCCCCCCCCGCCGGCGCGCGGAAAGCGCCCCAAGGCCAGCGCCAAGGGCGCGGCCAGGGGAGGGCCCAGCGCCGACCCCGGGAGGCCGCGCGGGCCTCCGACAGGCGGGTGTGCGCTGGCAGGGGGGACCTGGTCATCAAACGCGACCAAGCGGGCCTGTCACGCGCGCGTAACCCTGGTCAGCACTGAACGCACCTCCCTGCGTTATCGTTGGCACCGGCACGGAAAGAAGTAATCCGCGGGGGCGGATTCAGCGGAGCGATATCTTGAGCAGCGCTCCACACCGCAACAAATACATAAGTATTGCCGCCCCCCCTTCGACGTAGTAGTAGCAGCAGTAGTAGTAGTACAGAAGTAATAGTAGTAGTAGTAGTAGTAGTAGTAGTAGTAGTAGTAGTAGTAGTAGTAGTAGTAGTAGTAGTAGTAGTAGTAGTAGTAGTAGTAGTAGTAGTAGTAGTAGTAGTAGTAGCGTAGTAGTAGTAGTAGTAGTAGTAGTAGTAGTAGTAGTAGTAGTAGTAGTAGTAGTAGTAGTAGTAGTAGTAGTAGTAGTAGTAGTAGTAGTAGTAGTAGTAGTAGTAGTAGTAGTAGTAGTAGTAGTAGTAGTTGTATTAGTAGTAGTAGTAGTAGTAGTAGTAGTAGTAGTAGTAGTAGTAGTAGTAGTAGTAGTAGTAGTAGTAGTAGTAGTAGTAGTAGTAGTAGTAGTAGTAGTAGTAAGTAGTAAGTAGTAAGTAGTAGTAAGTAGTAGTAGTAGTAGTAGTAGTAGTAGTAGTAGTAGTAGTAGTAGTTGTAGTGAGTTAGTAGTAGTAGTAGTAGTAGTAGTAGTAGTAGTGATAGTAATAGAATAGTAATGGGAGCAAGAGTAGTAGTAGCACTAGTACTTGTAGTAATAGTAGTAGTAGCCGTCGTCGAGGCCGTAGTAGTCGTAGTAGTCGTAGTCGTCGTCGTCTTCGCGATAGTAGTAGCAGTAGTGGTAGAAGTAGCAGGAGTAGTGATGGTAGTAGTAGTAGTAGTCGTAGTCGTACTCGTAGTCGTAGTCGAAGTAGTAGTAATAGTGATAGTATTAGTAGTAGTAGTAGTAGTACTACTACTACTACTAGTAACAGTAGTAGTAGTCGTCGTAATCGTAGTAGCCGTCGTCGTAGTAGTAGTAGTAGCAGAACTGGTAGTAGTAGCGAAAGTAGCCATAGTAATAGAAGTAGTAATAATGAGAATAATCGTAGTAGTAATAGTAGTAGTAATAGTAGTAGTAGTAGTAGTAGTAGTAGTAGTAGTAGTACTAGTAGTAGTAATAGTAATAGTAGTAGTAGTAGTAGTAGTAGTAGTCGTCGTCGTCATAGTAGTCGTAGTAGTCGTAGTCGTCGTCGTCATCGTTCGTCGTCGTTGCTGTCGTAGAAGTAGTAGTAACCGTATTAGTAGTAGTAGTAGTAGTAGCAGTAGTAGTAGGAGTAGTAGTAGTAGTCGTGGTAGTCATAGTAAGAGTAACGGTACTAGTAGTAGGAGTTGTACTAGTAGTAGTACTAGTACTGGCAATCGTACTAGTAGTAGTAGTAGTAGTAGTAGTAGTGGTAGCAATAGTAGTCGAAGTAGTAGTAGTAGTAGTAGTAGTAGTAGTAGTAGTAGTAGTACAAGTAGTAGTAGTGGTAGTAGTAGTAGTAGCAGAACTGGTAGTAGTAGCGAAAGTAGCCATAGTAATAGAAGTAGTAATAGTGAGAATAGTCGTAGTAGTAATAGTAGTAGTAATAGTAGTAGTAGCCGTCGTAGTAGTAGTAGTAGTAGGAGTAGTCGTAATAGTAGTAGTAATAGTAATAGTAGTAGTAGTAGTAGTAGTAGTAGTAGTAGTAGTAGTCGGCGTCGTCATAGTAGTCGTAGTAGTCGTAGTCGTCGTCGTCATCGTTCGTCGTCGTTGCCGTCGTCGTCGTCGTCGTCATCGTCGACGTCGTCGTCGTCGTCGGCGGCGTCGTCGTCGTCTTCGTCGTCGTCGTTGTTGTCGTCGTCTTCGTCGTCGTCGTCGTCGTCGCCGCCGCAGCCGTCGTCGTCGTCGTCGTAGAAGTAGTAGTAACCGTATTAGTAGTAGTAGTAGTAGCAGTAGTAGTAAGAGTAGTAGTAGTAGTCGTGGTAGTCATAGTAAGATTAACGGTAATAGTAGTAGGAGTTGTACTAGTAGTAGTACTAGTACTGGCAACCGTACTAGTAGTAGTAGTAGTAGTAGTCGTAGTGGTAGCAATAGTAGTCGAAGTAGTAGTAGTAGTAGTAGTAGTAGTAGTAGTAGTAGTACAAGTAGTAGTAGTGGTAGTAGTAGTAGTAAAAGCAATAATAATAATAGTGGTAGTAGCATTAGTAGTAGTAGTAGTAGTAGTAGTAATACTAAGAGTGGTAGTAGAGTTGGTCGCCGTCTTGGTAGTAGTTCTAGTAGTAGCAGTAATAGTAGTGGTAGTAGTCGTAGTAGTAGTAGTAGTAGAAGTAGTAGTAGTGGCAGTGGTAGTAGAAGTAGTAGTAGTAGTAGTAGTAGTCGTAGTAGTAGTAGTAGTAGTAATAGTAGTAGTGGTAGTGGTAGTAGTAGTAGTATGCGTAGAAGCGGTATAAGTAGCAGTAGTAGTAGCAGCTGTGAAAGGAGTAGCGGTAGTAGCAGCAATATTAGGAGTAGCAGTAGTAGTAGTAGCAGTAGTAGTAGTAGTTGTCGTCGTCGTAGTGATAGTAGCAGCTGTCGTTGTGGGTACTCGTAGTAGTAAAAGGAGAAGTAGAAATAGTAGTGCGTGCGTTGTGGTCGTGGTCGTAGCGGTATGTGTAGTAGTAGTAGTAGCAGCAGCAGCAGCTGTATCAGTAGTAGTGGCATTTGCAGTACAAGTGGTGGTAGTAGTAGTAGTAGTAGAAATAATAATACTAATAATAGTAGTACTAGTAATGGTATGTGTAGCAGTAGTAGTGGTGGTAGTAGTAGTAGTAGTAGTAGCAGTAGTAGTAGCCGTCGTAATCGTAGTAGCCGTCGTCGTAGTAGTAGTAGTAGCAGAACTGGCAGTAGTAGCGAAAGTAGCCATAGTAATAAAAGTAGTAATAATGAGAATAGTCGTAGTAGTAATAGTAGTAGTAATAGTAGTAGTAGTAGTAGTAGTACTAGTAGTAGTAATAGTAATAGTAGTAGTAGTAGTAGTCGTCGTCGTCATAGTAGTCGTAGTAGTCGTAGTCGTCGTCGTCATCGTTCGTCGTCGTTGCCGTCGTCGTCGTCGTAGAAGTAGTAGTAACCGTATTAGTAGTAGTAGTAGTAGTAGTAGCAGTAGTAGTAGGAGTAGTAGTAGTAGTAGTCGTGGTAGTCATAGTAAGAGTAACGGTAATAGTAGTAGGAGTTGTACTAGTAGTAGTACTAGTATTGGCAATCGTACTAGTAGTAGTAGTAGTAGTAGTAGTGGTAGCAATAGTAGTCGAAGTAGTAGCAGTAGTAGTAGTACAAGCAGTAGTAGTGGTAGTAGTAGTAGTAGCAGAACTGGTAGTAGTAGCGAAAGTAGCCATAGTAATAGAAGTAGTAATAGTGAGAATAGTCGTAGTAGTAATAGTAGTAGTAATAGTAGTAGTAGCCGTCGTAGTAGTAGTAGTAGTAGTAGTAGAACTAGTAGTAGTAATAATAATAGTAGTAGTAGTAGTAGTAGTAGCAGTCGTCGTCGTCATAGTAGTCGTAGTAGTCGTAGTCGTCGTCGTCATCGTTCGTCGTCGTTGCCGTCGTCGTCGTCGTCGTCATCGTCGACGTCGTCGTCGTCGTCGTCGGCGGCGTCGTCGTCTTCGTCGTCGTCGTTGTTGTCGTCGTCTTCGTCGTCGTCGTCGTCGTCGCCGCCGCAGCCGTCGTCGTCGTCGTCGTAGAAGTAGTAGTAGGCGAAGTAGTAGTAGTAGTAGTAGTAGCAGTAGTAGTAGGAGTAGTAGTAGTAGTCGTGGTAGTCATAGTAAGAGTAACGGTAATAGTAGTAGGAGTTGTACTAGTAGTAGTACTAGTACTGGCAACCGTACTAGTAGTAGTAGTAGTAGTAGTAGTAGTAGTAGTAGTAGTAGTAGTAGTAGTAGTAGTAGTGGTAGCAATAGTACTCGAAGTAGTAGTAGTAGTAGTAGTAGTAGTAGTTCAAGTAGTAGTAGTGGTAGTAGTAGTAGTAGTGCGTAAAAGCAGTAATAGTAACAGTGGTAGTAGCATTAGTAGTAGTAGTAGTAGTAGGAGTAGTAGTAGTAGTAGTAGTAGTAGTAATACTAAGAGTGGTAGTAGAGTTGGTCGCCGTCTTGGTAGTAGTTCTAGTAGTAGCAGTAATAGTAGTGGTAGTAGTCGTAGTAGTAGTAGTAGTAGTAGTAGTAGAAGTAGTAGTAGTGGCAGTGGGAGTAGAAGTAGTAGTAGTAGAAATAGTAGTAGTAGTAGTAGTAGTAGTAGTAGTAGTAGTAGTAGTACTCGTAGTAGTAGTAGTAGTAGTAGTAGTAGTAGTAGTAGTAGTAGTAGTAGTAGTAGTATGCGTAGAAGCGGTATAAGTAGCAGTAGTAGTAGCAGCTGTGAAAGGACTAGCGGTAGTAGCAGCAATATTAGGAGTAGCAGTAGTAGTAGTAGCAGTAGTAGTAGTAGTTGTCGTCGTCGTAGAAATAGTAGCAGCTGTCGTTGTCGGTACTCGTAGTAGTAAGAGGAGAAGTAGAAATAGTAGTGCGTGCGTTGTGGTCGTGGTCGTAGTGGTATGTGTAGTAGTAGTAGTAGCAGCAGCAGCAGCAGCTGTATCAGTAGTAGTGGCATTTGCAGTACAAGTGGTGGTAGTAGTAGTAGTAGTAGAAATAATAATACTAATAATAGTAGTACTAGTAATGGTATGTGTAGCAGTAGTAGTGGTGGTAGTAGTAGTAGTAGTAATAATAAATACTCCGACGGAAGAACCCCACATAAGAATCCTCTGGGCGAATCTGGAAAAAGCCATCACCGTCGTCCTCGTGGTTGGTGAGGCGTCCTGGCTGTCTCTTCTGCGTATATTTCCTCTCGTCTTGGCGCGGGCCCCCCTTCCACTCCTTACGTTGTCCCCATCCTCGCCCCCCTGTTTGTTCCGCGCCCCGCCACCTCCTCCCCTTCCTGTTGCATGAGCGCGCATGTCGATGTTCCTCGGCGCCGTCGCCGCCACGGCCAGCACAGGCGCGTTCTCTACTGGTCACGTCGCGCAGCCGTTGGGACAACCCCGCGGGCCAGGCTGTCGGGGCAACCCCGCGAGCCGCTGGCGCGCAAGACCAAGCCGTTGGGACAACCCCGCGGGCTTCGAGCGAGGCGCAGCCGCGCTCAGGCGGAAGGCAGCACGAAGCCCAGCTCTGCCGCGAGCTGCTTCGCCTCCGCCCTGGACAAAACCGCTCTCTTGTCGAACTCCAGGAGCGCCTTCCGCAGGGACGCCGGCGGCCCGCACTCCAGGAACTCTCGCGGCGGCGGCCGCAGGATCAGCATGTTCCGCATGCACGTGGCGCGGGAGAACATGACGTAGAGGTGCAGCCACCACTGCTCGTCCGACATGCCCGTGCGGCCAGCGTCCTCGTCTCTCGCGCAGTCGATGGTGACGCCCTTGCGCAGCGTCTGGCCCTGCGACAGCGTGGAGGTCAGGTAGGACGCGTGCGTCAGGGTGAACCCCGAGCGGCGCACGCTGTGCGCCCCCGAGCTCTGCCATGTGAACTCCCTTTCGCTGGGCCTGAACATCAGCAAGCTCCGCGCCCGCGCCTCGATCTCCCGCCTGAGACTTCCTCCCAGTTCACTCACAGACGAGGCTCCCGCCTGAGACTTCCTCCAAATTCAGGCTTGAGGAGCCCAAAAGTGACGACAGTTACAGGTTCCGATGACCCGCTCGGATTACCAACATGATCTGCGGGCCCCATAGGGAGGGGCTCCCGCCTGAGACTTCCTCAGAATTCACTCACAGACGAGGCTCCCGCCTGAGACTTCCTCCAAATTCAGGCTTGAGGAGCCCAAAAGTGACGACAGTTACAAGGTTCCGATGACCCGCTCGGATTACCAACATGATCTGCGGGCCCCATATGGAGGGAGCTCCCGCCTGAGACTTCCTCCCAATTCACTCACAGACGAGGCTCCCGCCTGAGACTTCCTCCAAATTCAGGCTTGAGGAGCCCAAAAGTGACGACAGTTACAGGGTTCCGATGACCCGCTCGGATTACCAACATGATCTGCGGGCCCCATAGGGAGGGAGCTCCCGCCTGAGACTTCCTCCCAATTCACTCACAGACGAGGCTCCCGCCTGAGACTTCCTCCATTTTCAGGCCTGGGGAGCTCAAAAGTGACGACAGTTACAGGATTCCGATGACCCGCTCGGATTACCAACATGATCTGCGGGCCCCATAGGGAGGGGGCTCCCGCCTGAGACTTCCTCACAATTTACTCAACGATGACGAGGATGAGGATGATGAGTGGTGGTGAAGATGAGTGGTGGCGATGATGATGTTTGAATGAGGATGATGCCGATGCCGATGATGATGATGATGATGTTCGTGAGCGTGTGAGAGAGTGCGAGTGATGATGATGATGATGATGAGTATGTGAGTGACTAAGCATGTGAGAGAGCATCATCGATGATGCTGATGAGGTTGATGATGAGAGAGCGCGAGTGAGTGTGAGTGGGTGTGTGTGTGTGTTCCTGTTCCTGCGCGGGGTGTCCAGAGAAAACAAGAACCCCACTTTGGATGTGGGGAATAATAGTAGTAGTAGTAGTTGTTGTTGTAGTAGTACTAGTAGTAGTAGTAGTAGCAGTAGCAGTAGTAGTAGTAGTAGTAGTAGTAGTAGTAGTAGTAGTAGTAGTAGTAGTAGTGGTGGTAGTAGTAGTAGTAGTAGTAGTAGTAGTAGTAGTACTACTACTACTACTAGTAGTAGTAGTAGTAGTAGTAGTAGTAGTAGTAAGTAGTACAGTAGTAGTAGTAGTAGATCATATCAGATCAGATCAGATCAGAATTTTGTGCGGAGCTACGCGGGTAAGCTCAGACCCCACCATCCCTGGGGGGCTGCGAACTGCGAAACTGCCGCCACTTTCGAGGGTTGGCGGGGGCTCCACAGGAGTGCTAAGCAACGGCCGATCACATGGATGCCAGGGTAACGCTTCAGGGTGCTTGGTGCGTCATCGCTTCACTGGAAGGGGGGCGGGTTCTTCATTGATGACCAGGGTTACCAGAACCACTCAAGCGCCTTTGCGCGCTTTTGCTGGGGGGGGAGCAACATCCTTGTCAAATAACGCCGTGCGGGCCACTCGCGCCCGGCGGCCGCGCGCGCACGTCGAAATCCTTTGGCCCGCGGTGACAGCTCAGGGGCCGTGCAGGACCCCCTCGGGGCCACTTTCCTATAGTCATATCGATTCCCACCCCGCGTTCGTTGACCCCCCCGTGGCCGTCCGCCCGAGAAAGTTTATGCCTGCGTCGGTTTGTTCTTCCTCGCATGGCGCCATCGATCCGGGGGCGCGTGACGACCAGGCAATGCCAAGGGAGGTCACCGCTGGGCGGGGCGCCGCTTGCTGGAGGAAGCGCCGCCTCCTCTTGGAAAGGGGCCCCCCAAAAAAACGGGCCAGACCCCCCAAAACGACCCCAAACGTCAAAAACGACTCCTCGAACTGGAGGAGGAGGAGGAGGAGGAGGAGGAGGAAGAGGAGAAGGAGGAGGAGGGTGGTGGTCCCCCTGATGGTCACCCCCCATGGCACTGCCCCGAGATGAGATGGCCGTACTCCGACAGCGACGCCGGGTACGACGACATCGCGGCCCTGCTGCCAACCGGCGGGAGAAGGCGGCGCGGCGCAGTGGGCAGCACGCGACGGCTGCGGAGAACGACGAGGCGGTCGCGGCCGCCTCAGCCTCCCTCTTGTTCCTGGTCGTACTCATCCATAAACCTTCCTGCTCTAACTCATTCCTCATCATCCTCTTCTTCCTCATTCCCCCTGCCTCATGCCTCGGCCTCCCCCGTCGTCCTTTTCCTCCCCCGCCCGACGCATCCTCATCCTCGTCCGTTTCCTCCTGCTCCTCCCCTCCTCCTCCTCCTCCTCCTCCTCCTCCTCCTCCTCCTCGTCCTCGTCCTCGTCCTCCTTCCTCCTCCTCCTCCTCCTCCTCCTGCCTCGGTTCCTCCGCCTCCTTCTCGCTCCTCCTCCTCCTCCTCCGCCTCCTCCTCCTGCTCCTGCCCCCCTCCTCCTCCTTCTCCTCTTCTTGGTCCTCCTCCTCCTCCTCCTCCTCCGCCTCCTCCTCCTCTTCTTATGATTAGTATTATTCGTCTTGTTTCACGATTAATAAATGTATGTGCCGTATTCGTCGTGTTCGTTTTCAAAATATCATTCCTATGTGTATGCTTCGTGCTGTTATTACTCATAAGAAGAGTAGTAATACTAATAGTAATACTAATAATAATAGTAATAATAATAATGATACTAATAATAATAAGAAGAAGAAGAAGAAGAAGAAGAAGAATGATGATGATAATACTAATAAAAAAACAGTAACAATAGCAATAGCATTAATAGCAAGAAATATATTAATAATAGTGGTAATAATACGAATAATAAGCATACTAAAAATAATAATAATAATGATCCTGCAAATAAGAATAGCCATACCAGTAATCATACTAATACGAATAATAATCATATGAATAATAATAGCAGTAATAAAGAAAACAGTAATAGAACTTCTAACCAATACAATCTCACTACAGTTAACCATCACAATAATAATAATGATGATGGTAATAATGATACTGATATAACGATACAAAATGAAACATAAAAATGAGAATAACAATTATGATAATAGTATGAATAGTATAATTATGATCAACAGTCTCATCATTCGTCTTCCTATTCATATTAAAACCATTCTCAAAATTCTTAATGTTGCTATTATTCCTCATCCTCCTCCTCTTCCTCCTCCTCCTTGTCCTCCTCACTCTACGCTGCCTCCTCCCTTCCTCCCTCCCTCCGTTCATCCATCCCTCCCGCCACTCCTCTCCTCTCCTCCCCCCGGTGTCGGGCTCCAGGGCCATCACAGGTCGACGTCGTCCAGGGTCTACAGTCGAGGCGTTGACCTAAGGAACCCTAAATAAGGAACACGAGGCCCCTTTTTCCCATAAGTTCAACCTCGATTTCCTATGGAAAACCTCCGGAAAACCCGAGGCTAACTTGGAAACAATCAAGGAACACCGAGCCCCTCCCCAACGAAAAGGGTTCCTTCTTCAGCGCCCCAACTGTAGGGCTCTGGTCCGGCTTTCTCGCAATGTTGCAACTGCTCTGCTCGCAAAGCGCCACATAAACATAAACGGTCCGGGGGTCCACGGACTGCATGGATCGGCGCTGGCGGGGGGGCCCAAGGAGTCCGCGCGGACCTCCCAACGTGTGCGTATGTTGATACGCTCGTTTCTTTCCCAAGTCCTGAAAGCTTTCTTCGGTGTTCGGCCCCTCCCCACCCAGGGCCCTCCGGAGGACTCCGGGACTCTCAAAAGACGGCGGGACGAAGAGCTGCTGGTCCTGGGGAAGGCCCTGGGGTCTTGGGCCCGCCGCCCTCGGGACCCCTTTCCTTCATGGCGACAGCGAGGGGGGGGGGGGGGCGCCTTCGGAACGGCCAAACAGAGCTCAGGAGTAGAGGGGGATGGAAGAGGGTGGAGGCGGGGAGGGGGAGGGCTGTGCAAGACTGCCCGGGGGGGAAGAGGGGGAGGAGGGAATGCATGAGAGAGACTCACCATGCGAGGCTGAAATCGAGAGAGAGAGAGAGAGAAAGAGAGAAAGAGAGATTAACAGCGGCAGAGATAGATAGTGAGAGAGGGAAAGCCGCTAGAGCCAGGGGCGGAGAGGGCCAGAGAGTGAGACGATCGAGAGAGAGGGGGGGGAAGTATGCACGTAGCTGCCTTCACACAGGAAGAGGCATGGAACAGCATGGAGACAGGAGGCCGAGACAAGAAGAAACGAGGGATGCCGATGGAGAGCAGGGCGAAACGAGAGAGGGAGGGGGGGGAGAAGGAAGAGGGAAGGATTAAGAGAGAGCGAGAGAGAGGGAGAGAGAGAGCGAGAGAGAGAAGACGAGAGCAACGGACCCCAAAAGAGCAGATGCGGATCCAGCCACGTGCTGCCACGAAGAACGCCTGGGGCTCGCCTGGCCAAGGCGAGCCCCGGCGACGAGCCGGCCCCCCGACCAGACCCTGAGGAACGGCACGAAAACAACAAGCCGTCCAGAGTCCAACCTCCTCCTCCTCCTCCTCCT